TTTCTTAAAGCTCTTTCTTCATTGTTTTAATTAGTGATACCAAATGATACACAAGTTTCAAATGAGGCAATGAAAAATATACCTACTATGACGTTGGGTCAAGTATGCACAAGGAAAATATTGTAAGCGACGCCAATCTCATAACCTGGCATTTGAGTAAAAAAATTGACAGTGAGACTCCCATGATTTGCTGTTGGGAGATTATCCTTTCCAAGCGGGACTAACTTGTTGGTTCTACCTGTTGATTTGCTCATTATATTTCCTTTCAACTGAGCTTTATCAAGTCTACATTTTTAAATATGTGACAGAAATCAGAAATGTCAAGCATGCTCCAAGATGTGCAAATATCTTTCCAACAATGAAGTTTTTAATCCTTGCTCGGTACACCACACTCTCAGGAAAGGTAATTCAGCTGCTGACTATATGGCCTCCGTTGGGCATAATCTTGAGTTGGGTACTACCTTTTTTCCAACCCCCCAATGGGACTATGTTCCTCAGAAAATAAGCTTTTAATAGCTTCTGCTGTACCCAAAAAAATGAAGTTTTTAATCCATATGGTTGAACTGGCATATGGTTCTATGGAGTTGAGACCTTGTCCAATGTTATATCTTAATTTCTTGGGCCACTCAGGATTGTCAAATCTTGGTTTTGCTTCTTGGGCCATGTACAAACCACATTGTACATGTAAACGATTTGAACACTGAAATGGTTTTTTTTTTTTTTTTTTTTCTTGGAAGCAGTTATCTTAGTTTCTTTTTTTGGTTTCCCTGCCAGTATCCGGGATTTTACCTCGATTAATTCGGATTGACCCACGTTGCGCACCTGAAAATGATGGATGAGTCTCGCAACGAAGGTTACTGCTTGCACAAGGTCTCGAACTTAAGATTTTGTTTAAACTGGAACAAGTTGCTTACTACTTTATCCAACCCCTAGCAGTTATCTTAGTGTTTGTGCCATTCCTCGCAATGTCCAAAATTGATGCACTTACCATGACGAAATCAATTCAAAAAGTCCTTTATTATTTAGCAGATTAGAAATCAAATCAATTTATGAAACAAATATTTTTAAATATCATAATTAATTAATTGCTTCAGAAAAGTCAAATTTTATTAGTTCATCACATGTTTGACATTGTGTACCCGGCACATTGAAAACTATTGTTGGATGTATATTCTTGAAACAATGGATACAAACTGTACTTTCTGCCAAAATTTGGGAAATTTTTTAATTTACCCCTTACAAAATTATTCAAGAACTACTCCATGTCCATGGAGACTTTGCTCAATCTCTCATCTTTGCATCTTCTTTGATCCCCTACCATTGACTCAAAAACAGCCAAGAGATTGTCCAATCTTTCAAGATCGTTCCCCTAAGCCTTCAAGGGAGACACTATGCTCTCAATTGTGGACAGATGCCCTGCGTTTGGCTGCTGCCTCACTTCACCACGCAAGCTCATCTTCTCTACATTCAGCCTCGTTGGCAGGCAAATAATAGGTTTTTTATTTTTTTTTGGAAGCAAAAATTTGCGTTCTTTGCTAGAGGACCAAGTTCTTAGAGAATGCAGGATCCACAATCCCAAATAGTATTTTTTTTTTTTCTTTTTGGTATTGACACAC